CACTGATTGAGAGTAAGAATATTGACGTTGATATTGAGAATATTCGTCATAATATTCAACATTGGAGCTCCAAATTTTCTACATGTTCCTTCCTCCACACGAAACGTTCCAATAACGTACCAGCGGACATACTTTCGAAGAAAGAGTCAGAAAATTCTATGTTTTATTCTTCCAAATTGTATCCTCCTGAATGGTTATATGATTCTTTGTATACTGATTATGTATCATCTTTCTAACATTAATAAAATTAGATTTTGACGGGAAAAAAAACAGTTGAGTTTCTCCAGTATGGATTCACTGTTGCATTTTTTCACCAAATTTTGCTACTTAACTCCTCATTACTTTTTACAACATTTTCATATTTGATTTTAGTTACTACAACAAAATCTTATATTAATACTAATGTTTTCAACCCGGAGCAGTAGCTCTACTGGTAAACCTTGTGACCGAAAAGGTATAGGTGCCAGGTTCGAGTTTTACTAGAAACGGGGAGAGGGTTAAAACCCACTTTTATCCCGGGCCCGAAGAGATTATGGGCATAAAGCCCAGAACTTCTAGGATTTCAAAATAACAAAAACACACATTAAAGTTTTGTTTAAAAACGACCACCAACCAAAATGTTGGAATAGCAATGAGTTATCATTTGCATATTTGAACTTCCTAGTTCGATTTTCATTTTAGATGAAAACAAATACTTTTCGACGGGAAAATGTATGATTTCGGCTCATAACTCCTCATTAATCATTTTAAAAACGATCACAAGTAATTCTATGATTAAAGGACAACTAATTTCAACATAGACGACTTAACCCCAAATCTTTATTTGAATCTCCCCCCCCCCACCACTCCCAATCTTTATTAAAATYATGCTATTTGCTAATTGTACATTCATCGACTTAACCATTAGTACAACATATTTAAATGTTGTTAAACAAAAAACATACTCCCTCTGTTCAAAATATAAGTTGTTTTACTTACAAGCACGCATATTAAGAAACAATTATTCTACTAAAAATTATCATTTAATATATCTAATAAAAATAACTTGACCAATCACATAAAATACTGTAAAATATTAGTGGTCACAATACTCAATAAAGTTAAAAAGTACCTAGTATCGTCAAAACAGTTTATATTTTGAAATAAAAAAATAGCTAAAACAACTTATATTTTAAAACGGAGAGAGTATTAAAAAGTTTACTTACGAAATAGATTTAAAAATAAAGATTTTTTTTTGAAAACCAGAGGGTAATCCCGGCTTTTACTTCCCGATTTATCTCTCCAGAGTAAGTGTAACCGTCGAGTAGCCTATTTCACAAGATTTTCTAATGGACCTAAAGCATAATCTTTTTCGACTGACCAAATAGTAATCGTTAGATAATTTGGCGTCTGAAAAGAATTAAACTCTGGTCTTGATCCACAAAACAACTCTTCCCCAAGTGGAAAATAGAAATCATTACCCCACTACCATTTGGTTAAAATAAAGAAAATTAAAAAGATTGGTGCATGAACAATGAAGAAACAAAAGTGGGCAATGTATCTTTTTAGTAAGTGCATTTTGACAAAACCATTCAACCAATCCCATCCTTTTTCTGACTCTATGCCGTTGAAAAATGGGAGACTATCGCCAATGACCACAAATATTTGATCCACGTGCCACTTTCGTCTTTCCAATTATTATTATATAAAAATCATAATACCATTTTGGTGAATGGATTGTTTAAGAGAAATAATAATAACAACATCACTAGAGTCCATTGAATAATTTCCAAAAAATAGTCACGTTGAATATTACTGCCCGCATCCATTGGATAAGAACAACCCTAATGTTTCAGATTGGTAACCTCTTTTGCAAACAAAATACAGTTTAACCGTTCGTTTGTTACAAAAAAAACAGTCGTTTGAAATGGTCGGTTAAAACGATCGTTTGCAAAATAAAATTGCAAACGGACGATTGATAAAAGGTCGTTTGAAC